CCTGCTCAAAGCCTAAACCCTAAACCCTAACCCCTAAACCCCTAAACCCCTAAACCCCTAAACTCCTAAACCCTAAACCCTAAACCCTAAACTCCTGAACCCTAAACTAGCTCTTTCGAGGTTTAGGGTTTGTCGACAGAGGAGTTCCATAATCTCGGCCGGTACCACAAGGCAAACATAAGGACAAACAGCTCGTCTTTCCGGGGGTTTAGGGTTTAGGGTTTAGGGTTCTTCTAGTTCGCTTTGGGTGAGTCGTAACTCTTCGTGTGGAGCTATGTCCGGACTGAAAGTTAGGATTTATGGACTAGAGGATTTAGGTTTGAGGACCGGGTTTAGGATTTCAGGTCTACTGGGTCAAGTTAGTTCAATTGAAGCTACCGGATAGCAAGCGTGGCATGGAAGTTCAAGCTAAGCTCTTGCCAAGAACCCTTTGTTCCTGTCTTCCGGCTTGTGAACGCTTGCTAAGGGCTTGAGCAACTGGTATTTCTTATATCTCCCTGTAGCCCCTGTATACTGTAACCGCTAACCGTAGCCGCTTTCATTATTGATGCCCTGTTTCGGTGCTTTAGGTTGGTTCGCGGTTTGGAGCTTGCAAGTACGCAACAAGAACAACCATCCTGGTGGGCCGTTCACGAGCACCTTTACCAAACATCCCCGAAACCCTCGAGCCTAACGTCTAAGCCTTGAAGATGCGGAGAGTCGGGGGGCTGCGTTGGGCTTGGGCAGCCAAACAACGCCGATTCGCCGATCTAGGGCTTTATGATTCTGAAGTTTTGGGTTTAGGGTTCAGGAGGTAGGGTCAAGGTCTTGGGTTGATTTTTTTCAGGATGTCAGTGTGCGGCAAATAGCTTGTGTGGTTTGGGACAATTGGGGGATTAGGAGTTAGGATTAGGGGGACTCTTGGGGATATAGACCCTCTCAATAAGCTCCCTTTTAAGAGAGCCAAAAGCAGGGTTCAGAAGGGGTACCCTTTAAGGGGTACCCCTAATAATACTACCTAGGGATGATGCATTCAACTTAGTTTAGTTGTGTTTGTTTTACTGTGTGTTTGTGTTGTTGTCAGATCCGGGTTGTCTTACCGGGCTCACGTTGTAACCAAGGGTTTGTAGTCATGCTTGTTTTAGACATTTCAGAACCTCGTGGTAGAAGCTCTCCGAGTGATGAGTGTGAAGGTTAAGGCGATAAAGAGTTCACAGTGTTTTCAGACTTAAGGCTTTGGGTTTATTTTCTGTTGCAAACAGATCATTTAAGCAGAAGCTCGCGACGAAACGGATGAAGATTGCAATCCTGAATCCTAAAAGTCGGAAGATTGGAGAAAACCCTCCACAAGGCCGCAAACCTCAATGCGAATTATCCACGAAGTGGACATAAGGAAAATTGCACAGCTTGCAGCACATTTGCACGAGATGGACAGAAGCCGGAAGTGCTTGATTTACGGCTGCAGTTGTACGTAGGTGCGCATCTTTCACAAGGAACTGTGCACAGCAAAGCCGTAATGCCGCGCGAAAGTTCAGCGCACATTCGAAAGCAGCCGGTCAAATGTTCAAGCTGTTGTCGCTCTCGGGTTCTGCATACATGTTCAAGGCTTTGGGGCTCTCGGGTTCTAGGGTGGAGGGCTTAGGTGCAGGGTTTAGTTAGGGTTTTATGGTATAGGGTTTCCGGTTTGGGGTGTTTTCTTTTTTGCAGGGTCTGGGGCAATTATCTCTAAAGTAGGCAAGCGGTGGGTCAGGGTTGCGAAGAGGAGGTTTCCAAGCATGGTGCCTGAGAATGTTTGCAATACTTTGCTAGCACAACCTGTGAAATATTGAATAAACTGATGAAAAGCATCTAACCCACACTGCTCGCAGTGCCTTGTTTTGTGGTTCCACAAAAACAACCCAACATAGACGCCCTGAGTGATAACTGGCTCAGCTTTACTGGGGTTGCATGTAGAACCATAAGCCCAGCCCGAATTATCCTTGAACTCCTTGAACCGAAACCTCAAGCCCCAAACCAGGTGTCTGCGGCATGACCTTGCTTCCGTTGATGTGCTTGCAGTTGCTCGTGTAAAGTTTTGCTGGGGTTGCATGTAGAGCCATAAAGCCCAGCCTGAAGTTTGAGCCCAAGCGTTTGTGGCATGATCTAGTTTCCGGTGAAGCGTTTGGGGTTATTCGTCTAGATTTCAACCTTCCGGCATCATGGTCCATGGTTCAACGTTACTTTAAGGGTTGGGGGTAGAAACCACGGGTTCAGGTGATGTTATGCAGGTTTTCAGACTCCAGCAGCTTATGCCTTATAGGCCTTACATGACTGTGGCAGGGCCTGTGAGTGTTTGCCGTTCAGGGTTGTCAAATCCCGGATACACCGCTAGACCCCAAAGTTGCAGTTTCAGCCTGAGGTCATTTCATATACAAGCCGTCGTCAGTCCCGAATCCTGATTGCGAATCTCCCAACCGAACTCCCGGCCCCAAAACTCAAACCCTCGGCTTTCGCACTTTGCGGTCGTAGAACACGAGTTCTCTGCAACTACATATTGCAGGCCCATCAACTCGTGAAGCTGTACTGTAAACCGCCACGTAATCACTAGTGGCTACCTGCTATAATATATGGTTTCGGATACTAAGCAGCGTCAAGCGTGACACCGTGTACCGGAAATGGAGGAGCCCCCCACTCGCTTAGGTTGATCATAGCGCAATATGCCCAATAGTCGTGGCAACAAAAAGTTGAGGACTCTACTACAAGCAAGGATTGTGTGGGGATTTTAACATACTACGCGTTGCTTAAGTTTCGGTCTTTATATGCAGTTCAGTATGGTTTCATACGAAATGTGTAAGGTTTCTATCCGGCCGACCCACCTCCATCAGCAGCCTCGTAGTAGTGGCCGTCCCGTGTACTGCAGCGTGGTCATCAAGTACGTTGTGGCATGGACTGTGGTTTACCATGTGACAGTTTATAAACGACCAAAATTGTCTCACCAATGCAAAGTTCGAAATGTGCTAATGCATGTTAACAAGCGGACATGGTGTTAGTTGTCCCGGTGGTAGTGCTGGTGTTTGCGTTGCTGCTTTTTTTCGAAATGCATTTTTTGGTGCCAGTGATTCCATACGCAGCAAACGAGGCTTCGGGTAAAAGTGTCTCAAGATGTCGTGTTTTTTGGTTGCGGCAACGGAATTATGACGAGGACGGCTTAAGTAGACAAGGTTTTCTGGAGAGAGCGGCTTAAGCAGACAGCGCGCAAAACGGATGGACAACGAAAACGTGGTGCGGCAAGACCACTGTTGGCGGAACACTAACCATGGTCGTTTCCTGTGGAGCACGGTTATGTGCCCGCGGCAGAATCTTCACCACACAAGCCTACATGTTGCTACGGCTCCTAATTATCACTATTTCTGTTTCTGTTGGTTGTCTTTTCTTCATGTGCTTTGCATTTTCGGCTTCTTTACTCCTCAAGGGAGGGGGATCGAAGAGTTTGATACGGGTTTGTTTGTTCAAGCCTTGGAAAGCAGTATTGTGCTGATGCTGCAGGCAGTTGGTTTCGAGCTTGGATTTACAAGGTTGCGCGCAGTTTGCATGAAGGAAAGCATGAAATGCAACGGTTATGTCGGTTGCAACATTCCAAAGATTTTTGTTTGGTGCTACAAGAACCCTTTACACCCCAGCCTTTGCCAGGCCTGCCTTGGCCCGTAGTAGCGCTTGTAGATCCCTTCTGGAGGGTTCCCTGCCAACTTGAATTACGTTCCATGCCGCTTTCAGGGTTGCTCACTGCCGGGTCTACAGAAAAAGCCGGAACCTGTTGCCACCGATGGGGTCGGGTAAGTAGACGTATCGGGCTCTGAGGTTTTTAGGCTTCGTCGCCAAGAAAGTTTTACGGCTTTGGTTTCTCAGATCTTTTAAACACCAAAGATGGACATTTTCAAGAGTTGGTAGGATCCCTTGATGGTGGTTCTGTGCCCTGGTTCCTCTCAACTGTTCTTGCTAAATTTGGCTAAGTCATAGGTCAGGTTTTCACCTTGGTCCACTCGCCGTAAGCCCCAAAACTTAAACCCCAAAGTGTGCCCAACCAAAATCCTAAACCCTAAACCCCTAAACCCTCAACCCCTAAACCTAAAGCCTAAATCCTGAATCCTAAACCCAAGGCTTGGGCCGCCCACCTCGGCGAAGTCTCAATTTGGGTTTCGGGTGTAGGGGCTTTAGGGTTTTGGGTTTCGGGTTTAGGGTTTAGGGTTTTAGGATAGGGTCAAAGGCTCCACAATTGCCCTTTATTTTAATGGGGCCTTTATGGTCCTTAATACTGTGCAGTTAGCGTTTGGCGAGGGCCTGGACGAACTTGACAATCGCTTCCGCCGGATGCCGCTTGGTGTCGGTACGCTTTAGAGTTTAGGGTGTCGGGTTTGAAAGGGTTTTATGGTGTTTTCTCGTGGCTGATGGAGTAAACTTACAGGGCTCAGGATGTTGCTGCTCCAAATCTGGTCTCAAGTATCTTATTCTTGGACATCTTGGGGACGGAAATGTAGATCCTTGGTGACCGCATGTGTTTGTTCGTCACAGGTTGAAGTTTGGGGCACTGGTAAGCTTTGGTTGGGGCTTTGGGGTTTCAGTCTCAGGTTGTATTCGGGTTTGGGGTTGCGGGGGGCTAACATTCGTGTTTGGGCCTAGGGCCTAGGGGTCTCAAGGGTTCGGGTTTGAAGTTTGGGGCTCTAGGATTTGTTGTTTCGGGGTCAGTGTTTACTTGCTAAATCCCCCGCGGCTGTGTGCAGTTTGGTTTTCCGCTGCCCGCGCAACCTTCATCAAAGTCCTGAGCCCTTAGACACCAAAATAATCCGGTAAACCCTAAACCCTAAACCGTCGTAGGACCGTGAATCAGCCTAAACCCTAAACCCTAAACCCTAAACCCTAAACCCTAAACCCTTAACGCAGGCAGGGGGATGGAGGTATGCGAGTTGAAGCTCCCCGGGCTCAACCTCTAAACCCTAAACTCCCTCTGAGTCTCCGACCCTGCGCGTCTCTTCCGTGGACGAAACCCCAAACCGAAAAAAATGGCCTGATTAAGTGCTACTACCATTTCTGAGGGTTTTTGATATAAGTATATTATACTATAACTACTATAAGTATACTGATACTATATAAGTATACTATATTATAAGTATAGTGGACCCCAAGCCGTATTCTAATGTTTTAGGCCACCACAGGAACTCCTCTTTGCCCTAGGACCCTAAACCCCAAACTCCTCTTCGCCCTAGAATCTCCGGCAAACCCCCTAAGAAAGGCTCCTTTCTGAGATACTTAAAACTCCTTGTTTGGGGTTTAGGGTTTAGGGTATAACTCCTTGTTTGGGGTTTAGGGTTTAGGTTATAACTCCTTCTTTAGCGTTTATAGGGTTTAGGGTATAGTCCGAACATCGCAGAAGGCTGAACCATGTTCGTGCTTAGGAAGGCTGCAAACCCCAACAGCAGGCTGCACAGGGGTGCCTCAACACTATGACCCCGAAACGCGCTCGTGCAGAATTTCTAAGGGCTTTAGGAGGGACCCTTAATAGGGACTCTTGTAGGTTATTGGGTTAATATGGAGACTACCTGGCTATATAAGGGGTATATAAGGACTATACAATGGTTATCTAAGGTAATGGGATTAAGGGTCCCTATTAAGGGTCCCTCCTAAAGTCCTTCGAGAGATATATGGAGAAGCAAGCATATCTGCTCCTGAGCCGAACCCTAAACCTGTAAGCATCAAACCACCCCAGAACATGCAGTTGAAAGGAGGGTGCAGGCTTTGTTGTTCAAGCCCCGGTCAAGCCCAGAAGAAATCTAGCGCTCAAGGTGGGTGGGTGTCCCTAAATCCATTCAAGTTGGGTTTATTCCCCTAAACCCTAGACTGTAAACCCAAACTCTTAACCCCAAACTCTGAGCCCTTTGGATTAGGACCCTTTGGGTTTCAAGGTGGGTGTCCCTAAACCGTATAAATATAGTATCATGGGCCCCAAAACCCTATTCTAATTATTAAGGCCCCTACATTAGGACCCTTGGGGTTTCGAGCGGGGTGTATCACCTACACTACACCTAAACCCTAAACCCTTTCCCCTAAACCCTAAATCCTAAACTTATATAAACCCTAACAACCTAAACCCTAAACCCTTTGAGTTTCAAGGTGGGTGTATTACCTTTGCGCTTGTGCGGCGGCCTTCGAGCGGAGGCGTGTGTGCCCTGGCGGAGGTTTCAGAAGCATGGGCCTTAGGTCTAGGGTTTAGGGTTTGGGGGTTTAAGGGTTTGGGGTTTAGGGCTTAGGGGGTGTCGGGGTTTGGGGGTTAGGGATTTAGGGCTTGAAGGGGTTTGGGGGTTTGGGGTTTGGGGGTTTAGGGGTTTGGGGGTTAGGGGTTTAGGGGTTTAGGGGTTCAGGGGCTTAGGGGCTGATGGGGTTTAGGGGTTCGCGGGTTTAGGGTTTTGCGGGTTTAGGGGTTCAGGGTTTAGGGGTTTGGGGGTTTAGGGGAGTACCACACCTTTATGTTTTTCGGGGTACCTGTTCCTTAAAGGAACCATTATGAGGTCAAGCATGTATTCTTCTTTCCCTTTGAAAAGCTTAATATCCTGAAAGTCAAACCTGAGGGCTTTACTACATGATTGGGAATGAGGGTTGCGGGCTTGGGGTTGAAGGTTTAGGGTTTAGGGGTTTAGGGGTTTTGGGTTTTGGGTTGAGGGTTGAGGGTTGAGGGCTTAGGGTTTAGGGGTTGGGTTTAAGGTTTAATTAGATTTTAAAGTACAGGGTTGAGGATGTCGAAGCTAGTGCTTAGGAAGCTTACTGTGGGATCTCATGTCAAGAAGGCTCCTGTTTGGAGTCTATACCTGGATCCGGTAACCTGTTGTTTCCCGTGGTATTCTCAGTGCATACGGGGTCATAACCTACTATGTTGCAGGGTGTGGACGCACTATTTTGGGTACGTGGTCATTTAGGAGAGGGGTTTTCGAAGAGTCGTTACTTAGGTCTAGCATTCGGGTTTATCGATTTCTCTAGGGCTTCATAGGGATCTTCTAGGGTGTCCTAAAGATTCGAAGCGCAGGCCTCTTGGATTGGATGGGGCCATGCATTTCTGCTTTAATTTCCGTAGATGGAGTTAAACTGTTAGATCGGGCTCATATGACCGATATACGGCTACACACTTGTCCCAAAGTTCCAAAAGCTTCAATTAAAGCTCAACGCGGCGCTCCAACAAAGAACCCTAAGCTCTGAACCCCTATAGTAGCCCTTATACTAAGCCTAAACCCTTCTAGTAACCATCGTTAAGACCACTCAAAAACCCTTAACTAGGCCTTACCCACGAAGCTCTAAACCCTCCCTGGACCCCATGCCAAAGATCCTACCTTTTTAAGGACTTACGGCAAGCCCCCAGAAAGTTGGAACATGGATTTCGGCGGAATAGTGCTAGAATCCCTTCTGGCATGAGGATCATCATGTTCCACCTTGCTGGCTTCTACTATAAAAAACTGGCATGAGGATAATGATGTTCCACCTTGCTGGCTTCTACTACAAAAAAAAGAAATCATAAATCGGGAACCCGAAGAAGGGAAGGTTTTGTAGGGTAACCTCCCGTCGCAGCTCCAAACTCCTTGGCATTGGGATTAGGGTTTAGGGTTTAGG